AAGTTCCCTCTTATATTTACAAGAGAAGATCAGAAAGAAAGTAGTAAAGAAATAATTCTATATAAAGATGAATTATATGGAGTTGAACGTTCACTTATATTACTAGGAATGAACTTTCTTGAGGAATATAGTCCTTATAAAATCTGCCAAGAATATTTAAAAATAACAGTTGATGATAATCCAATCATCATATCAAGAATATATGAAAATATGAAATCATTGTTATCATGGAAAGAGTAATTAATACTAATCTCTTGAGTCCATATATTGAAATTACACTCAATATAAAAAGTTATTGTAGAATTAAATTTCATGTTTACTTAGATACAGGAAGTACAATAAGCTTATGCCTACCAAATGTACTATCATATGAATACTGGAAATATAATTCAAATAAGATCGTCACCGCTATAACAGTAAGTGGAAATAAGGTAATATACAACAAATATACTACGTAAGTACCTTTTCTAATTTCCTTTAGAGAAATATTTGTTAATACAATATATATGTCAACCACAATTGGATGTGATATTTTATTAGGACAAAATTTCCTATTAAAATATGCACCATTTACACAAAATATTGATAAATATATGTTCACAACTCCTTGTTCACATAAAATAATTACACCAAAAATAAATAAGACTGTTACCATAGCATATAAAGACATAAACCATTAGAGTTCCTCAACCCAGCATGGTGGATGTTGGAGTAAAAAAAAAATTAAATCAGTTACAGTCTTGAAAATGACAACAGAAAATAGGTTAGAAAAATTGAAAAAAGAAATTTCTGAAACATATTCTGAAAATCCATTAGAAAAATGGAATATAGACAAAGTAAAGGCAAAAATAGAATTAATCAATCCAGATACTATAGTAAGAGTCAAACCCATGAAATATAGTATAGATGACCAAAAGGAATTTAAAGACCAGAAAAAAGAACTGCTAGGAGCCAAATTAATTAGGCCTAGTAAAAACACACATAGCAGCCCAGCCTTTTTGGTTAGAAAACATAGCGAGATAAAAAGAGGAAAAGCTAGGGTGGTAATAAATTATAAATAGTTAAATGAAGTTATCAAATTTGATGAATATTACTTGCCAAATAAGGACACTCTTATTAAGCAGGTACAAAATAAAAAGATATTCTCAAAATTTGATTGTAAGTTAGGTTTTTGACAAATCATGCTTACAGAAGAAAGTAAACCATTAACTGCATTTAGTACCCTCAATCCTTTAGGACAATACGAATGGAATGTAATGCCATTTTGGTTGAAAAATGCACCACAGATATTTCAAAGAAGAATGGATGAGGTAATTAAACTAATTACTCATTTTTGTATAGCACATGTAGATGATTTACTTATTCATTCAAATAATATTGATAAACATATTGAACGCTTGAGAAATTTTGTTATATTATGAAAAAAATATGGTATTACACTTTCTCAAAAGAAGTCTGAGATAGCTAAAATAGAAATAGAATTTTTAGGATTATTTATAAAAGAAGGAGAATTGTAATTGCAATATCATATTGGAGAAAAACTTCAAGAATTTTCTGAAAAAATCAAAGATAAAAAACAATTACAAAACTTCCTTAATATATTGAATTATGCTGAAAGATTCATTGAAAATCGTGCCACAACAAAAAATTATTTTCTTCCAAAGCTAAGAAAAAATATAATGTGGTCTTGGAAAAGACAAGATTGTGAAAATATAAGGAAGATAAAAGAAGAATTAAAGGTATTACCCAAACTTATAATTCCACAAGAAGAAGATTTCTTTATTCTTGAAACAGATGCTTCGAATAATTACTGGGTAGCAGTATTAAAGGTTAAAAAGAATCATAAAGAATATAAATGTGAAAAGAATTGTTCTTGTCCTGAGATACTTGCAGGTTATACATCAGGAACATTCAAAGAAGTTGAAACAAGATATGAGACTAACAAGAAAGAACTCATTGCTGTAAAAAGATGAGTTAAAAAATATGAAGATTATTTATTATCAAAAAAGTTCTTGATTAGAACTGATAATATACTCAAGTTAAAGCTTTTTTGAAAAATAATGTTGATTCATCTATTGCCAATAGATATATTATCAGAATAAAAATTTGGTTTTCATACTTCAAATTAGATATTGAATATATAAAAGGTAAAACTAACTTTCTTCCTGATTATCTCAGCAGGGATGGAGTTAGAGCAACTAAGGACGAAAGTCCAAATACTTGAGATAAAAGTTTCTTATTTGGAAACATAAATTCAAAATATCCAAGATAGCCTTCAAGGCAAAAATATAGCCCTTGAGGCAGAAGTAACTTGTCCCAAGTCTAGTATCTCTTCACAGAGACCAGTAAACACTAGCACTCTCCTCGAGGATAAAGGGAAAGAGAAGAAGGTAGTATGAATCCCTGTACAAGGAATACTTAAGCCTATTACTGGTAATGAAGATATCAAAATTTCCACTAGGGAAGATATTCAAAATATCAAAAGCGAAGGTAGCTCTTCACAGAGCCAAACTAAATCTAAACTTTCTATTGAAAAAATAGATCCAAAAGATATTGTCAAAATATGCCATGAGGCAAAATTTCCCAAAAAAGATGACCATGAAGAAGTCATATTCTTTATTGTTATTTTTAATGTTTTATCAGATTGGTATCTGGAAATAGGAAAGTGAATGAAAACTCTTCACTATGCAAAATACAACAAGATAAACTTCTATCCAAGAGCACCAGCCAACTGGGTACGAAATTGTTTTGAGATAGGAAATATACTCTGTATGTATCCCAGCAAAGATCTCAAAGAAATAGCCCAACTTCCAGCCAACGTCAGGAAAGCTGTAAAAAGATATACTGAAATTGTCAAGACAACAAACATATACACCAGATTCCATTCAGCAACTATGGAATGGGATCCCATTCTGAAACATATGCATCTATCATTCCATGTTATTAAAATGGGATTTACAAACCAACATTTTTTACCAACCAGTCAAAAGGTTGTTAAAAATGGATACCAAGATATTATAAATATGATGCCATATAGAAGAGCAAAAGGGTACAAAGAAATATTCGAATATGTAACTCAGATAATTACTGAGATAGAAAATATATGGATTTATCCATCTGAAAACCATATAATCTACTCAAATGCAAGGATAGATACAAAGGAAGAAGACATATGTTATTTTGACCAATTATTATCCGCAATTATCTCAAACCAAGTACATGGGTCAGAAGATATGGCAAAAAAATTGTGCAAACTACAGTGACCACCATTGTGAGTACTGCGTAGTGGAAGATATGAGTCAAGCATCTCTCAACAGTAAAGAATTCCCTTCAGAATTCTTTGATTCGAAGATGGAAAAGTGATAATGACAAAAGTGACCCTTTATCACTACTTTAATAAAGAAATTTATTAAAGAAAAATCGTAGCTACTAAAAGACAGAAGATAGTACAAGAAAGTCTTCATAATTACGACTACTCACCTACTGGTTGTCATAAGTGAAAGATAAATTCAAAGATAAGGTAGATAATTTCTAAAAGAGAGGTCCACCTAGCAAGAAAATAATGTAGAAATCAGTGGAGATAAGATTACTGAGCTACCCAACAAAAGGAAGGGGGAGACACCTGTCAAGAAAGGACTCTCAAAGTCTTCTATAAAAGGAGGCAAGGAACGGAAGAAAAAATGAAACTTATCTCAAAAAGATTTGAAAAAACACTCTGAAAAATCACATATCAAAGAGATATCTTTTGTAATCTGTATACACCACTTGTATTCAGAAATTTTTTTAAATAGTCAGAGGAGAGCAAAGCTTGTAATAAGGTAATCACTTATGGAGTTCTAAACTTCATAAGGTGAGTACCAAAAGTATGTAAATATAGATTGTAAGCATGTACTATTTCAGTTTATGAATATTAAAGTAAAGTTTGTTATGTTCAAGAAAACTTTCATAAAAGGATTTCGTTAAGTTTCTCATGATTCCTCGACTGTACAAATAGAGATTTTAAAAGATTTTCAAAACATTGATTTTGAATGGATGTTAGCCATGCCAAAGTACTCGTCTTTAATGAATGGTTTAGGGGAAAAATGTAGTTTTCTAACAAAATCCTAGCACCTCGTGTGTGAGTTATCTTTTAAAATTTCATTCCAAGTAAGAACTTGATTCTGAAAAGAGTTTGAATAGAGGTGAAAACAGAGACTCTGGATACTGTGAGATAGCGTCTGTGGAAACACGGTTAGTTCTCTAGAATGAGAAATGCAACCTTAATTGAAAAGCCTTTTTGCGGAAGCAGTTGTGGACCCAAATGATTTCAAAAAATATTTTAAACTTTTACTTGATTATGAAGATTGATTAAGTGCATCCAAAACATCTATAAAAGCATACTGGAGGGAAAGCCTGTTTACTTCTATTTGATTACTGTAAGTTATTTACTCTCTCTTACATGCTTATGATTTGGTTAATTTTGATGAATAATTCACAATCATCCACATTCACTTCTAATGATGATAATAATTCCATATTTTATTTAGATGAGAAAGATATTTCGCTTTTACTTAAATTAAATGAAAAGTCTTAAGACATATTTTCTGTTGGCCATGAAAAACTTGAAGAAATATATAGAGATATAGATTATTATTGTAAGTATAATATAAGACTTGATTCTGTAAGAAGTAGTAGAGAAATAAAAAAGATAGAATATATTATAACTAAATATAAAGATATACAAGAAGAAGTTTCAAAGGAATAATTCTAGGATACATAACTAAGAAAGATCAGCCTAGAATTTTTAAAGAATTATTAAGATACATAGAATATTTAGAGGTGTTTGAAAGATTGAAAAATATAAACATAAGTCCTGATTAATGAATCCCGAAAGGAGAATAAATATTGAAAGACTTAGAGAAGATACAAGATACATCTTGCAAATAATAAAAGTAAGGGTAAAATAGTATTTCCAATACTAAAGGCCATTGTGGAAAATAGAACCAATATTCCTGTCATTTAGAAGACTGACCCCTCCGCTTGTCTCTTTTGTAATCTAACAATTCCATCTCTCGAACTCCAGAGGTATATTTTGCATTTGATTTTGTTTAAATAAATGATTTAAGTTCCACCATGTTCCCGTGTTTTTTGAAGTCTTCAATGATATATTTTCATTAAATTTCCATTACACAGACATGCTAATAATTACTTAGACGATGAAGAGTACGCCTGAGACTTCGAATTTGCGTGTCAAATCTCTCTTGCTCCCCCATTTGTACGTGTGTGTGTCTATATATATATCGTTTATGTATCTATATATCTATTTTTATATGCACTACAAAACTGTCTGTTTAATCGTGTTTTAAATATGAAATTTATTTTAATTTTTTTGGTATATAATTAAGTCCTTTTGTCTCAGAATTTGTTGTTTGATTGCTCAATTTGTACTGAATGTGACTGGAGTCAGCATTATTTGGACGATGACCTGTACTCTGCTGAACACAAACTATTGTATATAGTTTTATCAATTTATTAGGAACAAGTAAGGGTTTTTTAGGCCTTCTTACCTGAACTTGAATGGGGTTTTGGCATTATTCCTAACTAGTATATACTGTATATTATTTGAAAAAGAGTTCATGGAAGGGGGCATGTACTTACCTCCAAAAGATTACATCAAGGATCTTTTCCGTACAAAGAATTATGAAATGTATTACACAAAATTTAATATATACAAACAGCAAAATACAATATTTGATAGCAAGGACAGAAACGTTTGCAAAAAAATAGAAAGGAATTTTCTTCATTGAAGGCTTCCGATCATTTATCATATTACTAGTCTGTTAACTTTGATGAAGGAAAGTTCTTCGTTGAATGCTTCCACTCATTTGTCATATCACTTGTTTGTTATTGTTGTTGATCATATTGCCTCTAAATGTGGAGATACAGCATTACCAATTGTGTTATTATAATGTTTGAATTGAAATGCATAAGGAATAAGAAGAAGTGATCACATGTTCTGCAAAAGTAATTGAAACTATAAAACAAGAATAGAGGCATTTTATATATACTATGCGTCGTGTTAGGATACATTGAATAAGTAGTATGTTTATCGAGTCTCCGTAAGCGCTTGTGGTTAGATATTTTGCTATTTTAATTCTTGTTACAATTTCAAAATATTACAAGGAATTCCTTGTTATGATCAGGTTGACAATTCTGTAGAACATATAAATAGTTCCAGGGACAACCCCAAGAGTGGTTTTTTAAGATGTGATGCCCAGAGATCTACCAGTAGAAGGATAGATACTGATGAAAATTTTTGTTATTTAGTAAAGTCGCACATCAAGGAGAACTTCTGCCAAGTTGAAGACTGCTTGATGTCTTTGTTGGCAAAGTGTCTGGAATTAGACTCAAAGAGCGCAACGAGTATATTGTCTCGGTATATTGATCACTTTCAGAGTGTCGAATCAGAGGATGTTGGGTGGGGGTGTGGTTGGCGTAATATTCAAATTCTTAGTTCTTTTTCTACTTAAACGAATACAAGAAGCAAGAGAGTTTGTATGGCGGTTCTGGATTTGTACCCGATATTGCTTCCTTACGAAGATGGCTTGAACATGCTTGGGAAAGAGGTTTTGATACACCTGGCTCAAATGACTTTTATCAGAACATATGCACTTTTGTATAATTTATCATGAGATTATTTTATTTCTCGAGCACGTTATCAGTGCAATATGTTCATAGCTGTAGTTGTACTATGATCTAGGGGTGGGCACGGTCAGAACCGAATCGAACCAAATTTTTCGGATATCTAGTAAATGGAACTATTCGGGTTCGATTTCGTTCGGTTCGGTTCTATAATTAAATTTTTTAATATTTATAATAACATTATATAAATACAACTGATGATACATTCAATGATTTTGGAATGTTAGAGACTAGTGGACTACCTTGTTCAAATGATTGCTACGGTCAAAACTTCGGTCGGCCGAGGTTACAGCTTCGATCGGAGGTCACAGCGTCAGTCGACGATTGTATAGGTTTTGGAATCTTAGCGAGGCTGCGAGAGTGAGTGCGAGAGTCGAGACAACGTTATGCACTTTAGTGTACGTGTTTAGGGTTATTTAGTGGATTGGATCTTATTGGGCTAAGAAATGAAATAATAAAATGGGTAATTGGGCCAAAAATTAAAAAATTAGAAATGAAACAAATTATTGGGCCAAAAATTTAGATTTAGAAATTGTTAATTTGTTAATTTGTTTAGAAAAAATTAAAATTAAAATAATTTTATTTACTCAATATAAAAAAAAAATTAGAAAGATTTGATTTTTCGGTTCTTGGTCTAGAACCGAGAATCGAACCGTACCCATCGACTCTCAATTCAGATACCCGTTCGGATATTTAATTTGACAAGAACTGTCGGGTTCGGTTCAGTTCGGTTCGATCGGTTCGGGTCGGGAGATTTGCCCAGCCCTACAGTATGATTTGTGTGCTCTTATAGTCTTTAGAGTTAACACTTATTGGTTGAAACACATAGGGTTAAATAATTCTAGCAGTTGCTATTGGTTAATTGTCTCAAAAGTCAAAAGTTGGAGGAGTTCTATTGCAAATAATAAAAGGTTATTATTGTATGGAAGATTTTTAATTAAAGTTGAGAGCAAAATCCCTGCAGAATTTGATCTCCAATTTACAATCGATTTTGGATTCTTGCACATGAAAAATTATTGTTGAGTTAAGGGAGTTGTGTTTGAGTTTAAATTAAACTCTTCTATTTGATTATTGATCCTATAAATAGTGGAGGTATTTCATTATTTTCTGTGTGGGCATAGAGTTGATTTGAGAAAAAAAATATTGTTAGCCTAGCATCTTAAGACTTTTGTACTAAGGGTAGAAGAATAGGTGTTGTAAAATTCGGGTTTATTTTTTCTTTGTAAACTTGGAGATTGGGTTGGTGAGTGAAATTCTATATGTTTGTAACAATTTTTTATATAATGAAAAGTTTTGACGGTCTGTTTAATTTCTGCGTTATATTCTTTATTTTTCCTATTTACTAATATTCTCTTGAACAACAAAAGATTTTGTGGATAAATAGAAATAAAGGGAATTGGCGTAAAATTCCCAGCAGTTGCTTTGTTATGCAGTTGACATGTTGAAACCACAGCCACTCCTACGAATATGTTGCTAAATTTTGGAATGCTCCTAATCAGAACACTTTCAAATGTAGGATGTCATAATTTGTGGTTGTTTGGGTTTCCACGGCTGCGTAAAAAATCCTCTTCTTTTATATGATTCTGTTTTTTGATGCAAATGCCACATTTTGTGAAAATAGAAATTATTCAGCATGATTATAGACCGCTTAATAGAAATTCTAGGGTGCTGGCTATTTTACTTCTTGAAATATTTTTGTGATCGTCTTTCCAGAAAACAAGAGCTTTGGAAAAATCATTTAAAGAGAATGTTGGATGGCAAAAGCTAATAAAAAGAGGTGTCCATACACTAAAGAAAGACCAATATCAGGTTGTAATCCATTATGTAAACCTTGATTTTTCTCGTTCTGTTTGAATAAGTATGTTTCTGTTTCAGTTGTGTTTCATTGATCCTGGAATTGCAAGTGGGGAGGAGCTGGAGAAGCTAAAGACCTTGGACAGCAGATGGATGCTTTGCGGGGATCCTCGTACATGGTGAATAACCAAATTTCAACCCACTCAAGTCCAATCCATTTGGACCTCTTTGTGTTGAATTCTAATCAGAAATCTTGATTTGGTCTTTTCTAGGGGTACTATATCGGTTTTTCTATTCTAGACTTGATTAATCTGGAAAATGATAGCTTGTACACATGAAACTTGCAGTTAAACTGATATGGTAATATTCATAGGATATAAATTAGAAGAAGAAAAGCACTAGTTAAAGCACAAAGATGACTCTTGATGAATTTCATTTATGAAGTCAGTTTCATCGAGATGAAAATGTTAAGGTAGATTAGTTTTTCCAAGGTGAGAGGAGTGATTTGTGGGTGAAATCAGAGAATCTTTCGACACTGTTTAGGCATATAAGCAAGGGTGATTAGATGGGATTTGGCTTTGTAATTCTATTTTGAAATAACTGTTGACAGAGGGAAGCAGTAAAATAAACTTAATTAAATCGAGTTAAGACTAGCATACTTATAACCAAGAATTCATTTTCATCCATTAATTAGCATATTCTGCCCACAAACAAATCAAATTTCATTTCTGCTAATGTTTTATTTATTTATTTATATTAGCCTCTGATTCTAAGATCCCAATAAAATCATACTTCTGTCTTCAGATCATAAGAAAAAGCATGATATGGTCTTAAGCTTTGGAGCATGAAAAGTCTCGAGTAAACTCCCTCAGATTCTGCTGTTTGGGTTGCATCCACCTGCTGGTTTTCACTTTTTGTTTGTTTATCCACTAAGTTTGCCCACCCGGACCTCAGACCCATGAGGCCAGGCTGGGCCTAAGCTGAGCTTTTGCCGTGACTGACAGGTTGGACGGGTCGACAATGTTGGCACCTCTATTTAGACTGAGTCATCAGAGAGACCCATTTACAGTTGGCTATCATGATGGTTGTTACTAACTTACAATCACTATGGACAGGAAAGGCATTGGACTGTAAGTGCCTTGTTGCATTATGGTCTTATGTTGGTTGACCAACCCTTGTTTTCCTTTGAACTGGGCATGCTGCTTTTTTCAATGTATTATCCTCTTATTTTTATTGGTTATAGGCATCAAATTTTCAACTCATAACTGTGAATTTTTAATATGTTTTTGATAGCGTGCTTGATTTCTTGAGAAAATTTCGCGCTTGTGGAAGTAGATAATTTCTTGTTGAGACAAGTGAAGTATGATCTAATATTTTAAACTTTTTGATAAGTATGATCTAATTTATCTTATTATACGTACAAAGAAGAGTTGAAATTTATTGCCTTTCTTGAAATATTGTAAATCTATTTGGTTAAGAAATCTGTTGTGGTGGAGTACTGTAGAGGAAGTGCAGTTTCCATGTTCAATTCAGACTAATGGGTGTGAGTATTCTGCGTATCTTGGACGTTGATTCCCGTGTCCAAGTCTCTTAAAATTTGATAATGATGTTTCAATATAATGCGTGTATTCTCTAACTTTAAACTTTTTAGGAGGAATAGTATTAAGTTCAACAAAATGTGTGGTTAATAAATGAGTATCTGTGGTTGAAATTAATTTTAATTGAATAGGAAAAATAACTTTTTAGTTACTTTTATTTTGCAAGATCAGATGCAATGTTTAGTTAATGATGAGGGTTAATATTTAGGGTTAGTTATTGTTGTTTTTTGTATCGATCCGGACCTCTCGTCCAAGCCGTTAGCTTACGCACTGTCCGCTTCGAGTGAACCTTGTGCCCACTTACCCCCAATTGGTATCAGGATTCAACTTAAATCTCTTTTATGTAGAGGTCAAGAGTTCGAATCCTGAAAGACGCAATAGAAAGTCGTGAGGGGTAAGTGGGCGCAAGGTTCATCCGAAGCGAATAGTGCGTAAGCTAACAGCTTAAGCGAGAGGTCCGAGTCGTTACAAAAAAAAGATATTAGAGTGTAAATGCAATTATCATTAGTAGTGAGTTTAAGGTCAAGTTGTTTGTTGAGGTGGTTCATGGTTGGTAATAATTAAACAAATATTAATTGCGTTGGACTTCATTGTTATTGAATATGGACAACCACTTCTTTAGTTTTCCAGTCCATTTGTTTTACAATAGCCAGTAAAATGTATACTAACAGCTTATTTGGGAGTGATTTTTTGATTGTTATTTCACTATTCCAGCCGTCATATTTGATTTATTCTTTCATAGATGGACTCCATTTTTCTCTTAACGGTCAAAAAATCAATTATCAAAATTACTTCCAAACAGACTCTAAAGAACAAATTAGGTGGTTGAAACATGCTGCGCTCCCTCTTCAAGCCCAAAAGATTATTTTCCTCTTTCAACCATCGATGTTCTGGTGGACAACACCGCTGTTCTTGCAATTGCAAAGATTTGATCATGAAATATATTGTTACATAATAGATAAAAAGAAATAACTTCTATGAAAATGAAGTAAAAAATTTATCAAAACTCAAAAAGTATCAAAGCTTACATATCATAAATCACCCATTCCATTATCAAACATCTGGAATAATGTGCACACTTTATTTATTACACGAAACCAGTTGACAAATGTTCCAAGGAACAAAACTTCTTCCAAAGAAAAACCAAAGTAATACACATCATTGTGGTAGACTAAGTTTCAAGTGCATGTTTAGTACATAGTAAGATTTTAAGTATTCACACAAAAGCAGGGTGATTAGTTTTTGTTACAGCTGTTACAAACTAATAAATGTCTGATTCCTACATTGTAAGGTCACGATTAATTGCCTATGCATAGAAAGGTCAGACGCAATAAATTCTGCTTAAAGTTGTTACATCCTCACGTTAGCAGACTCATCATATAATAGTCTGTACCGTGTCAGGAAACTCTTGCCATTAAGATCCCTGATTTAATGCTTGCTTCTACCCCTCTTAATTTTTGCTTTAACACGAGACTTTGTCATTAGTGTCTGTACCGTGTTGGCAAAATTTCCAACAGCCATTATAATCAGAAGAATCCCACAAGTAATCACCTGAAATTGGTGAATTGTAGCACCTGATTAACTGTGATATAAAATATATATTTAACAAACTGCTTGAATAAAAATGAAATAAAAACAAGAGTTAAGAGTCAACTTGCAACGTAAAAACAAGCAAAGATAATCATATAAAAATACAAGATTGTGCATTTAATAATTTTATCTACCTGCCACTCAAAGAAGAATCCGGCAAGTGCAGTTTTAAGCAATAAGACTCCAACATATGCTTCAAAACCCTGAAACCAAAAAGCAAAATGCTTAAGTGTAACTTGGATCCTTTCCTGAGTTTAAAACGATGCTAAGCATGGAATATACAGATGAAACGTTTGTATCCATTGAGAAGATTCAGTGTCTTGAAAGGGTATTCGCCAAGCTGACCTCTAGAGATAGCATCTTTTACTACAGAGGCATATATTTTAACATCTAAAGCAAAAATTCGTGCTTTTGTGGAAACAAACAGTCGAGCAGCTTCAATACCTGCAAGATGAAGAGTATAGGGCACAACAACAGTAACTGACCCTCCACTCCAGCAGTTTCTCCCCAGACAACATCCATTCTCCTGGCCTACAAGCAAAAGCAATATCTTAAAAATGTCACAAATAAAGTAATGTAAAAACCTTGCAAGAAAGTGATGGAAGTAAAAATTCCATGTCAGACAGATTTCTGGTTTATATGCCAGAATTTGTTCTTAAGCAATATATTTTACCACAGCTTCGACTATTATGGGAGGATGAAGAAGCTGGGACCTCTATCAGATCCAGATCACAGTAAATTCTGAAAATAAAATTAGTTATAGCTGAAAGACGAGGAAAATGCTCACCTCTACCCCATTTGAGAGCATAAACAATCATGCAAAAGTGTAAATTGATCGAACAAACTTGATAAACTTGTTTACATGTCTTGATAAAAACCTTATGCATGGAAAACCGTAACTTCATCAGAATTAATATAATTTTGAATCAAGGATAACTCAACTTTTAAAACTCAAGCAATCAGGGAGAGAAGAAAAAGCACAAAAGAACTTGTCGGAAAAACTTGATTTTGAGACTACACCTTGCCTAGAGCAATACGTGTATATAGTCTTTGCCGCTGGTATCTATTCTGGAGAATCATTGCAACTCCTTGCATAATTGCCCATTTTAGAAACAACTGTACACCTCTCTGCGATGAACAATTTGATTTCCGATTATCTAACAAAAACAGAAGAAAAGAAAAGAAACAGGACGAAACTAAGCATTGAAGACATAAATAGAAGCTTTTGAGAAGTCAGGTTGGTGTGCATGCTGTGCAGACAAATGACATCGCATAAACACCTGTTTCTGGGCACAATCAGGTCCCCTCTCTATCTCCCAAGTAAGACTTATAAGGGCCATAGCCATAGCACAATAATGGTGTTTGATCCACCTGTAGAAGTAAAAACATGATGCCTTCAAAATATTCAATGCCTTGTGCATGTAACGGAGGTGAAATTTAATGAACATAAGAGAGAGCATGAAAGAAAACGCGTATGCAAGCGGGCACACCACTGAGACTCTCTTCCATCTTTAGTTGGTAATTAAAGAGAACGCATGAGAAAGTTGAACGCGAAAGATCTAACAATTAGCATGTATAAGGAAGAATCTAAATACAGCAATTAAGAAGCTTAAGAAATACTGGCTGAATAAAGTTGATATCACATATTCAAGTCAATTATACACTTCATATTAGACAATGTAGCTCCATAATTCTCATAATCTCCCAACTTTTTGTACCTTTTATTTACTTTCAAGTTTTAATGTGGCAGTGTTGTTTCAATGATGGTGCAACCTGTATACAACGAGGGTACAAAAATACTTCTTCAAGAAATTTATACCTCCCAAACAAAACGAGGTTGATTACCATAGTCATAGGAAACTGAGTCTATTGAGCAGAATGACCAGTTACATCTCTCCAAAATGTAGCTTTTTCCTAAATTGAGATACCTATACAGGCATAAAGTAACCCATCTGACCAACTTTGGCACCTTTTAGTTTTAACTACTACCTCAAAAGAAATCTTGAACTAACCAAAGCACTGCTCAGAAAGTAAATTAGAAAGATCAAGAAACGTTGCCCAACAATTTGCCAAATAATAGGTGGTTTGAACTTCACCATATTATTTAACAACCAAAATCAATAAATAAATAAATAAATAATTCCCGGACCTAGATTCTCATTTATCAAAAGTAGCGCCACAAGTATCTCACGGAAGAAGTTACAGTTTGACAGATAGCATGTTCAGCTAAGCTTATAAGGTGCTATAGTCCCAGTGTATTCCGAGCTCAATAACATTAAAAAATAGAAGTGAGTTAGAGTAAATTTTATTTTATTTTTTTCTTAATTAACACTTCGTTATTTACTACTTCAGTTAGATTTAAAGTTCATGACATTATTATTGATTACTGAAATTGAATTACAGAATTTCTTCGTTTCTTCTCCAAATTTCTCTCTCTCCCTCTCTCTCTCTTTTTCCATGTTTCCCTATTTCTCTCTCTCTCATTCTGTGTTCTGCATCAACTCCTGTGGCATTTGCCACAAACAAATTAATTGTATTGATGTTGCCTCCAATTTATCATTGACCACTCCAGTTCTATCTTTAACTAAACAGTAGTCAATCAGATACACCCAATCACCATAACATTCTACATAAAATTCCATCCATGATGGAATGAGAACCAAAAATTTAAACTTCTAATTCTACGATAGAAAAAAGAAGAGCAAAGTCAAGTGTGACGCAGAGATCTAAATCCCAACCCATCCCACATCACCAAAAAAATAAAAAATAAAAATAAAAAGGAGATTGTCTTATACAATTACCATGGACGTATGTCACTTCCATTAACTCTCAGGATATTTTCTCTCAATGCCAAACCTGTGTAGAGATACAGCAACCATGCCTGGAGTAAAGAAATTAAGAAGGGAAGCAAAGAGTCTCAGCATACTTCCCCATAAAAAGCATGACTGCCAACAAAAATTAAATTGAGAAAAAAATACTGTATACCTGATAAAGTTGTACTGGCAATGCAGGCAGACATCCATCCCAAATCCATGACCTTAACATCAGCAGCAGCGATGGGAAAAAAAGGAACAAAAATGACGTCCTATCCTGCCATGAGACATATTAGACATGATCAATAGTTAGCAAGCATCTTACATGCACAACTGCTTCGTCATCAAATATTAAGAGAACCAGTGAAAGTGAAAGCTTTAAATCCCCATCAAGACACAATTTCTACAAGCAACTAAGCAATTTTATCAAAATTACAATAGGCCTTTTCTACATACACATGATAGTAGAAATTAAAAAGACGACTCTTTAGAAAAATATCCTATTCTCGTGACTCATCCTCAATGCCGGTGAGGCTCCACTGTAAAGTAGTCTGCCCTATAACCCACAACCACCACAGAGGAGCCACCCCCACCAGGCAGGCCGCCATGGGTCATAATGCACTATTCGCCCTCCATTTTCTCATTAGGAGAGAGTAAACAACATATAGGTTGGAGTTCTCACCATCTTGGGACTCCATGAACCAATGTCGCTTGAATTATATGGTCAACACAGAAGCCTATGTTCCATTTTTGAAGAGAGAGGATGGCTTGTGGAGATTTTGGGTTGACCATAGGGAAAAAAACGAAAAATAAACTGATATATTTCCTACAGGGAACCAGGAATGCATCTCGAGTAACTTTTACATCATCTTTTAGGAACAATTCACAACAAACGTGCTAAGATAGAAATAGTCAGTTTGCCTGAGAGCAATTTTGAATTATCAACAGCAACTAGATTTTTAATATACTACCTATATCTTCTTTTGTGTTAACATGATAAGCCCCTTGATGACTGTATATAAGTGAACATTCCGCTAGATTTGACATACCTATAGTAACAATTGCTTACCATTTCAATCATTGTAAACATGGGTACTAAATACTTTATTTTGTTATTCGACCATTACTTTGCCATCACAAGCTTATATCCCCCAAAATTCAGAATTTAATCTTAAAATTACCTACTTATATGCATTTTCAGCAATAACAACACTCATATTAATATAATAGATAAAGTTTTCAAGCAAAATATAAACTGGTAAGACATATTTTTGGTCGAAATCATACTCTGAAATTATTATATTCATCCTTCACCTTCAACTGCACATCTTTTCTAGTTGCCCGAACATTAATCGGCCCCAAAAACATCTTCAAAAAGCTTCCTGCATATATAAAGAACACTAATTCATTCTCACGTCTATATAAATCCCGCAGACCAGAAAAAAAGAAAACTAAAAAACACACCATGAGATTTGCTCGGAAGAAATGCCGCTGCATCACCTTCACTCAAAATGTATCTCGCTTTAATCAGCTCCTCATCCAGCTAAAAATAAAAACAAAATCAGAAATAAACAAACACTGAACATGCATGTATAACATTACTCTACTATGTACTTTGTCGTCATGTTTCAAGTTCCGGAGGGACTGGATGTGGGAGTCGAGTGAGGCAACGCGCTGGCGGAGCTCGTCTTCTTCGCGGGAAGTGCGCGAGATTAATGCCGCCGCCGAGTCCTGCAACTCCTTGGCCTGCTCCACCAGTCTGGCAATATCGTCTCCCGCGACTCGATCGTCCGGAGAATCTCCCATGTTTGCACCGCTAGATGCGAAATTGATCCAAACTTTTATTCGATTTAGATGCTACAACAACAATTCAGTGAGGGTGAAGTAAAATTGAAAAATAAGAGAATCTAGAAGGAGGTGAGGTGAATGGTGTTGAATTAATTTCCTAATTTTTTTTGAGAAATTTGCATCATTGGTATTCAATTTATTAATTAAATAGCAAGTCGGTTCCAAATTTTAAATTAGAATTGTTGCGCACAGCTCAAGTGACCGAACATCCAAATCTTCCCCAGAATATCACATGGCCTTCATGAAAATATAAGGCCCTATTTTCTTTACTGTTTTCAGGCTTTTTCTGTTTTCGATTTTTCAAAACGTTGAAAATGTGTTCTCTTTCCTGTTTTCGAAAATGAAAAAAAAATAAATTTGTGAAGAAAACACAAAACGACTTTTTTGTCGTTTTGGGCGTTTTCAGTGTAAAATTTGAAAAAATTGAAAACGCGGGAAACATCCTTTTTTTTTTTTTTTTTGGGGGGGGGGGGGGGGGATTCTCAAAATTTCAAAAAAATTTAAAAATTAATTTTTTTTTTTTTTTGAGGTGGTGTTGTGGTGATTCTCAAAATTTCAAAAAAAAAAAAATCATTTTTTTTTGTTTTGAGAAACTAACAAAAAGAATGCATTTTCAACAATTTCAAAACAAAAACTCAATACACAAAACTCAAAATGAATTCAAAACTCAAAATACAAAATTGAAACACAAAGAAAACACCCCTAACTTACTTCAAATTTTGAGAACCACGCAAGAGGCAAAACCTAATTTTCAAAGTCAGGTTCCTGGTTGTCATCCTTTAAAAAATTAAATTGTTTTTTACAGTATCATTCCCCACCACATATTTTCACAATAAAATATTTTACACACAAACCAATAAAATTTTCTTACTTTTTAATCATACATTCTCCAAAAAACACTATTTAGTAACTCATTATTCCCAAATAAATTCTATCACGTAAAACCTCCGACTTTTTAGAGACTTTTACTGAATATAATTTTGTCATTTGAGACTAATTATGCAATTGTAGTGATTATTGAGAATCAACTTGCTTCTTTTTAAAGATTGAGGATTAACTTACTATTTTAAGAAATTTTCTTTGGGGTCCTTGTATTATGTGAAATAGAGCAAAGAGGTCAAAATCTTCTATTTGTAATTGTATCCAGAATATTTCAGTTTTATAGTTGTGTATTCTGATAAGGGATTAAGAGCTGCTTAAGAATTTTTCGCTATTGTATTCTGTTTGCAATGTGCATTTCAGATTAAAATCTCAAACACATTTTCAACCCCATATCTTCTGAGACCAACAACTTTTAATCTGATTTTTAAGTTAAACCAAACATGTCTAATTGTCTTGTATTGTTTGTGTGTGAATCACCCCCATTTAATTAACTTTTATTAAAATTTACTAAAAATCTTATTTTTAGCTAAATCAGACATATCTAATTGTCGTGGATCATTCGTGTATGAATCACTCTTATTTTATTAGCTTTTATTAAAACTACTAATAGTCTAATTTTTAGTTAGATCAAACAAGTTTAATTATCTTGGATCATTATTGTGTGAATCACTCTTTTAGCTTGATTATTTTTTCTTATTGGCTTGACTAATGCTTGTATTTGTCCTTTGTCATGTAAGATTAAGTTTAAGAAGTTAACCTTCCATCTTTCTGATGAAGCTTATTCCAAAAGATTTTCGAAAATGACAACTAGTTTAGTCACAAAATTCGTTCCATATGAAAGTTTCCGGGTTGCATTTATTCTAAAGAAGGGCATGGTCCTTTCGAAATAAAATTTTATTTTTTAATAGTCAAATTAATACTTTCGGTATTGAATTATAGTCTAGATTACGGCCCTCCTTCTTGGCCAGGGTTGGAGACGGGGGAAAACGGGCGCCCACATTGTACCCTTATTGGAGGGACGGCTGTCAGTATGGCTTTTCCCTTTAGATTATTAGAGCCACAATCTAAAAGCAGTCCCTTTTCTTAAATCAGCGGGTATTTTATTAAAGCACTGAGATCAATTGAACTCCACCTATGTTTTGGTTCTATCTAAACCTAGTTGGTTGACATCTAATTTTGTCCTTATGAATCACTCAATATCTTTCATCAGTGGGACCCTAGACGTGACACGTATTGTGATGCATATCTGCTCCAGCATTAAGTCAACACAATTCGTACACAAGAAGAAAATTATCAAAAGAGAAGGTGATGAGCAAATTAGATAAAAATAAAAATAAAAAAAATGAAAACTTTGGCATGCTAGTGAGAAAAGTAGAAATGACTGATTCAAAAAGAAAATGAAAATGAAAAAATAGAAATGGCCCAATACAATTAGCATTATTCTACAATTAGCTTTTCAATCGAGTTAAAACATCGTATAGTAATAATACCGATTTATTCTCAATATGATTAGTTGTCCAAATGAGTTTAAAAGAATGCGTAGCAATAGTTCTATTTGATTCCCAATGGCGTTATGGGCTGCAATTGAGGTTTCAAAATATGTTGAATCATCCAAATATATCCAATCTCGAATGTGAAAAGCATGGCCAAGCCTGTCATTCCCTTGGTATGGGTGGTCGGCCTCTACGCATGGACAAGGCCGGTTCTGGGCCTCAGGATGAAATGGGGCCTCAAAAAGTTTTCCAAAGTCCAAAAATCACTATTATGGAATTTCCTCAATTTTCTTACATAGATATTTTATGGTAGTGCAAATAAAGTAGGGGCCTTTCTACCAATAACGTCTTTCAATTTGTTGCTGCTTTTGATTTTTTTTTAAATATAAGATATTTTTGATAATAAATAGTAGGCACCATCCCCATGCCTAACTAATTTTCATAAAATCTTTATATTATACCAGGGGCGGACCCAAAATTATTTTCCAGTGGGGGCGAAACAAAAAAAAAAAAAAAAGGAAAAAAAAAGAGCTAACATAAATTGTGAAAGTAAAAGAATATTTTGAGAATCGAACTCGAGGTTTTCTAGTTCCTACTTCTAAAGCAATAATAACCACTGGACCAAATACTCAACATTTGTCTAGGAATTTTTCTCAAGCTATTTGAAATTTCAGTGGGGGCAACTGCCCCCACTGGGCCCTTAATGGGTCCGCCCCTGTATTATACTTCTTGAAAACGAAAATTGATTCTCGATCCAATCAAACGATGAGTATCAAAGGTATAATGTTTCTTATCATGAGAAACACCATGTTTGATGCCAATATACTTGTAAAAAAATTATGCGTAGGGACCTCATGATAACTTATCGTCTAGGGCCTAAAAATTTTCAGGACCGCCCTGCGCATGGACTCATTTTTTCGAACTTTATGCTTGAGTGAAAAGCAAATCTTTTATTCCATAAGGGTTTACTATGAGATTAAATTATTCAAGTGGAGAACAGTGAAAAGAAGAAGCACTTCAATACTGCGTTCTATTAGCTCCTCAATTTTGATGCATTTCATGCAACCCTTTATGGGGGACCAGCTGCTCAATTTTTTCAATTATCTTACACTTTAGAATTTTTACTTTTTAAACATGCTCTCAAAACAAAACGTGAGAGTGTAACGAACCAGCAAGAATGGATCTCCAACAGTTTCTGTTCCAAAAATAGTCATATTTTAATATTGTTCTTTCTTTCTTCCGTTCATTCTTTATCTTTAATCCAACAGCACAATGTTGAAACTCAATCCCACGATTCTGATTTTCCTAGGTCTAACAATTACGATAATTTCACCAGTGGTTCATTCAATTCGCTTCGACCTCCCATCAGGAACCACAAAATGCATAACAGAAGATCTCATGGAGCATGCCATGACAGTCGGAAAGTACTCTGTCGCCAATCCCAACGTCGGTCATCCAATTCCCGACACCTACAAGATCAATGTCCGCGTAAGCCATTTATACAATTCAACTTCACATTTTCCTTAATTTTTTCTGTAAATCTATATAGGTTGTGCTGTATTTAGAGTAAGAGTTGGTTTGTTATTGAAATATAGGTGACCTCGGCCCACGGGGGAATATATCACCATGCGGATCATGTGGCTTCTGGAACTTTCGCGTTTACTGCGAATGAGGAGGGTGGTTACATAGCTTGTTTCTGGGCACCAGAACATTGGCCTGCGCTTATGATTGCAATCGAGTTCGAGTGGAAATCTGGTGTTGCAGCTAAGGATTGGTCAAATGTCGCCAAGAAAGGAAAGATCGAAGTAAGAATTCACTTTTTAAAAATTGGCAAGATGCTAACGAAGATTCAAAAGTAGCTGTTAAAATTTACCCTTTTGAGAATCCTGTAGTGACATGTGTCACCACTCTTCTCTTGAAAGTAGCCCTCGTTACGAGTAACATTTTTTGAAATGTATTTGAGACAAATACAAATTAGGACTAAATCATTTTTATTTTTATTTTTTGGGTTCCACCTCTAGGTAATGGAGCTCGAGTTGAAGAAATTGTTTGATACAGTAACGTCCATTCATGATGAAATGTTCTATCTTCGTGAAAGGTTAGAATATCGTCCTAGTCCCATTTCCTGTAATTTTCTACAAGTTCGTCTACACCACAGCGTTTATTTGTTTCCTGTTTGGCTTTCCCAGGGAGATTGAAATGCAAGCTCTCAATACAGCAACTTATTCCAAGATGGCCACCTTTAGTTATCTTTCTATCTTTGTTTGTCTGTCTGTGGCTGCCTTCCAACTATGGCATTTGAAGTCATTCTTTCAAAAGAAGAAGCTCATCTAGTTTTTAAGTGAAGATCAAGAATCTACTCTTTTCATATGGATTGCAAGGAGGTATGGAGAATCAATTCTACAGCTCTCTTGAACAGTTTTTTGAAAACTCGCTTCTAGCATGCGTTGTACTATGTTGTTTCTGTATTTGATTTCATATTTTTGACCAGAAATATGGTTATGGATTCAGTCAGTAACAGAGCAAAGACTACCATCATATTATTTAAATTGTTACTTTTGTCAAGGGATCTTAATTAATCTATCTGAATTATAAAATGACTAATTGAAGAAATTTGAGACCAAACGGCTCTTTAAACTTTCGATCCTTGCAGCATTTGATTTTGAGCTTTGAACAACCTTATCCAGAAACCAACTACAGGTTTTGTATCAATTAAGTCTCCAGGATCCTCGAATTTCACCTTCACGCTGAGCTCTTCTAATGAGTTTACGAGATTCTGATGCCCATCAACAAACTCTATCAACAAAGAACTAAATATTGCCAGTAATGATGCACTTGCACTTTCATGTCTATCAACAAAGAAGATTAGACTCGTATTCCAATTTTCCCATGTGGTTGTTGGGGAAAGGGAAAGCTTAAGCATTACAATTCACATTTAGACAGCGACGTCATTTAATTTCTCATACCACAACATAGTTCTGAATTTCAATTATTCCTCAATAAACAGCATGTAAACACCAAGAAAGAGACTTTCGTGAAAAGGGAAATCCACGTAAAATGATGTAAAGACAAAATCTCTCAACATTCATACATTCCACCTTATAATTGCTAGAATTACTGGCCAAAACAAAATAAAGTAAATAACTTCAGTTTCTAAAAACAGAGCAGATTCAGACATCCGCAGCTGCTAAAACTCACTATTTCTTCTCTTCCTTCTCAGCCTCGGCAGCCCTCTTGGCCCTGACACCAACATGGCGTGCATTCGTTCGCTCAATACGCAGCTTGTCATATGCCTTGAACGACTTCATCTCATCCGTAACCTTCACAAGCTCGACTGTTGGTTTCTCACGCACAATAGGCAAGTAAGGACCTTGCACTTGTGTGGCAGTTGCCAACTCCTCAGGAGCAGAATCACCAGCCTGCAGAAAGGAAAGGCATTCTTGAACTGTCTTACATATTAAAGGGAAGGGAATTTTTTTGTTCTGAAAGGGTGTGTACCTTAAATTTGCGGGTGCGTCTTGGGAAGACAACTAATTTGGCTTTGTATGTCTTCAGCCTCTGAACATTAGTTTGGAAACCCTCCAAAGAACTGTTCCTACGGCGATGATCAACTGCAATGCCAATGGTTGGAGCATATTTCTTTGGGATTCCAGCAGCCTGTTTGTAGCATAGAGAATTATATAAAACACCACAAGCAGCATTCAAATGGTAACACACAAAGCAACAGGAAAAGTGATGACACATACTTCTAGGAACTTGGACTAAGCAGAGATAGAGATATCTACAAGTCCATTAGAAAGTCGATATAGCAAAAAATACAGAAAGGGAAGTCCATGATGCAAATCTCTTGAATTCATCTAGTGAATAATACAAAGGTGACACTCATTTATATAAGCAGAGATAGAGATATCTACAAGTCCATTAGAAAGTTGATATAACAAAAAAATCAGAAAGGAAAGTCCGTGATGCAATCTCTTGAAATCATCTAGTGAATAATACAAAGGTGACACTCATTTACAACTAAAAAATGTCGATATTCTGGACAAAATTCATTTTTCTAAGAGAAATAAAACACTTAATCAGCATAACCATTAAAACAGCCAAGCAAAGGCAGCAATAATTTAAGGTATTTACTGAAGTCAAACTTGCATTTTAGCTAAAAAAAATCTCACCTTGAGTTCCTCGAGAGAAAATCCCCTTCCAGCTCTGACTTTCATATTGTATTTCAAGGTTTGACCATGAACAATAGGACGAAGAGGTCCAGATGTAGGCCTAGGGAAGATCTTCACAGCCTTCTTTTGTCTAGCTGAAAAACATATCAATCAAAGAAGAATCAAGCAAGACATCAATCAAATATTTAGAATGAGTAACAACTAAAAGCCAAACAAGCATTATACAAATATTTTGTTAATGAAAGAAATAAGGCAGAAAAATAGTCACTGACCTATTCTTCTCCTGGTCTTGCGAGCAGGCTGGTTGAACCATGTCTTCACATAGTTCTGCCAGTGCTTTCTGAAGTGTCCATTAGGAATGACATTGTTGTGCTTAACCATGGTTTACCTATTGTAAAACGGATAGAGAAATAAAATTAGACCTTTCAAACAGCCATCCCATCCTGCTAAAAATAGGCTCTCCACAATCATGATAAATCAAAGAAATTTTAAAGCAGGATCTAGAAAATCAACTGATATATGCAGCCACATGAATGCGAATAAAAAAAAAAAAAATGATTTTGTTTTCAGCACATCAGATCGGACAACGAAATCCAAAAAAATGAAAACTGGTCATCCACATGTTTCATGATTAAAGTGTATATATACTGAATAATTCATATAACTAATATTTTTGAGACCCTAACACAGTCCAAGAAAACCATAGTAAATATATATGCTACATTTACAAATACTGTGTTAAAAGTAACCATTTGCATGATGAACTCACAGCACCTGAACAGATGCATTACGAATTTAATGAATATCACATATATCAGCAACAATGAGAATAATATAAAAGCCTCTACAGATCACACGCACTAATAACTTCTTTTAAAAATTTTAGGTAGATTGAATCTCTTCGCATACAAAATTACTAAAAGCCTTTTCGAATTAACACTTGTTTGAGCAGTCAAATATAGTTTTTGATGGAAACTGCATATTTATGAAATGACAAATATAAAGTAGCTGTCATTATTGAAGGGATATTAGAATTAGAAGAAGCAGAAACAAGCAAAAACAACAAACTCTAAATATCACGAAACCAGGTATAATTCGGAATTCGTAAGTTTTCATTTTCCTGAAACAGATAACAGAAAATCATATAGGCTACACAAAAATAAAAAATAAAATAATAAAATGAAAAGTAAGGTAAACCACGGAACACCCTCAAGCAGTTGAATAAGCTCAAATCATATTATTTTTCAGGTACCCAGACTACATAAAGAAAAACCTAAAAGCGTTCAGCACCTTTTAACTTCATTTTCCTACACTCATTTCCCAGCAAACAAAAGAAAACGTTTCAACTGGGAAGTTTCAATCTCACTTGAATTCATAAGAACGCGTTAACATGGGAATTGATATAAATGATTTTCATATCAACAAAGGCTGATCTACATACAACATAATTAGGCATAGACATCAAATGAAGAATTATTAGGGTTACACTTACAGCGGCGTTTGGAACGGGGGTGGAACTGCCGAACCGGCTCTGCTGGTAATTGTGTGATTGAGGCGCGTCTGGCGTTTTATGTGGGAGGAGGGTTAATCTAAAACCCTACATTTTAAAGTAGGCCCAATTTGTGTATATTGGGCCAGACAGCTGCTGAGAAGTAACGGGCTTGGGCCAATAGCGAAATGGGTTACTATTTAATTTGTGTGGAAATTACACAATTCCAGGCATTTAAAAATCCCAATGCAAAAGTCAGATAAGATGGTTTTTAATGTAGATTTCATGTTTTAATTTAACTATAATATTAATAATATTAATACAAAATATTTCATCCCTAATTCAACCCTAAAATTCTGAAAATCATTTCACAGAGCCGCTTCTCTCTATGAACTTCTCCTCATCGGCGTCGCCTCCGTCCGTTCCCCTCATCCGGTACCAAACTCCTCAACGGCGGCAGCAAGGCGACGGGTGCAGTGGTGCATCACTGAGGGAGATTCCAGGCACAGCAAGACGATGCTCCTGTCGTTGAAGCTATGTAGTGCAGACTCGGCTTTGTTGCTGTAGATGGCGGAGCTTGAGCAAGACGATCTGGTGGCAAGGCGAAGTAGAGAAGTGTAGTGAGGCGAGGCGGCATTGCTGTGGTTGTATGGTCGTCTCGTCGCCTCAGGTTAATTTTTTCGATTGCGATCTACTTTGTAGTCTGCGGTGGCGATGGGTGGATGTGGATGGTGGTTTGTGTGTGGAGGCATGGGTGACGGGATCTAGTGTTTTTTTTTCATTGTTGTGGTGGTTGGTTTCTTTTACCGTGGTGGTGGGTTTTGTGTTGCAATGGTGAGGGATGGCCGGTGATGTGGTGCTTGCTGTGGTGGAACGGGATCGGGTGTAGTGTTGCAGGAGTGTGGTGGTTGCAATGGTTTGGTGCAAGAGGTGATTGGGTGGTGGTGCACTGGTGGTGGGGTGTTTCGAATCTGTGACCAACCATTTAGACATTTGTGACCAACTATTTCGCTGATTTGTGATCAGAAATTAGGTATATGTCACTAAAAATTTGTTGGTGGTGGCGAGATGGTGGTTGGCGATTGTGTGATGGTGTGGTGTGGTGCAGTCGGTCGATGTATTTTGATAGTCGTTTTGGTTGTTGTTGGCGGTGGTCGTGGTGGTGTTGTGGCAGGGCGGAGTGTAATAGTGTTTGTGACCAATTATTTTGGTTGCTCTGTGATCAAGAATTGATGGTGGATTGAGATCGGGAGTGGAGAGTTTGTTATACGTAACCAACGATTTTGCCTGTGACCTTAAAATTTAATAATATGTGATTATAAAATAATTTGTGACCTTAAAGATTTGGTCCGTGACCTTAAAATTTGATAATCTGTGACTATAAAATTTTTAATTTGTGACTTTGAAATAATTTGTGACTCACAAAATTTTTGATCTGTGATCTCGAAATAATATGTAATCAATTAATTTGACGATATGTGACCAGTAAGTAAATCTGTGACCCACAAATATAAGTCTGTGACCATTAATCGTGTAATATTATCTTTAATTAACTAAATATAAACCTGAATTTTGAAATTTTAAACTGTTTACCAGATTTTTGCATTGGTGTAAACAATACACCTGAGAAATGAATTTTTCCCTTAATTTGTTTAGTTAAACTGTGACAGGGGTTAATTACACAACTATGGAATATTTGGGGTCGAGTTTTTTAAAAGTTAGGTGAATCGATAAATATTATAACATTACGATAATAAAATAAAATAATTCTCCAAAATTCGGTGTCCTCCAAATCTGTTATTTTTTGTTATAAAATTTACATTTTTTATGAGTATATAATTTTTTATATCTTAACAATATTTTTTTTTTGACATGTATGTAATTTATTTACAAAAACCATACATTTAGTAACTTATACTCTTAATTTACATTTAAATCATGTTACATGACATGTAATTTTTTTTTTTATTTTTTTTATTTTTTATTTTGAAATTGTAATGTGGATTATGTGAATTTTTTTTGAGGTAGTAACTTATTATATTAACACAAACACTTAAACGACCCATCACCATCATAGCTTTCACCATCACCATCCCGAAATATAGTATCAAGACTCTGCAGCCACCACCATCTTCAAAGAGATCACTTCAAATCGACAAATAAAACCAAAAGCTACCACAAAATAACAATTTTGAAAATTACAGATTTGTAATCGAACCTACTACCATCACAACCAACTTCCTATCATCACCATCATCACTACAAACCTGTCTCCACCATATCTAGCCCCAAAAACCACCATAAACCCAAAATTCGACCACCACCAACTTCTCTACTCCTAGGGATGGCAAAAAATATATTTAGCATGATACTCGCGGGCTCTGAACTAAATGGGACGGAAATTACCTGCCTAATCAGATAAGTAAGGATGGGGTAGGGGCCGTTGCCCCTAAGCGGGGACGGAACCTGAATGGAAAACATGGTCCTCACCCATTATCTGCCCCATTCAAATTTACGTTTTTTTTATCAAATAAATTTATCATTATTTTTAAAGAGAACGGGAGTTATTCTTAACGAATCAAAACAAAAGTAGTAATATTTAATAACTAAAGATATAAAAAAATAGAAATAAATAAATAAACGGGTGAATAAATGAGACAAAAGATCTACCCCTTCCCGTCCCGTCCTGCCAGTCCCAATACCACCCCACGCAGATTACGAAGGATGGGAATGGTCGACACCATCATGTTGTCATCCCTCTCCACCCTTACTCACTGCACAAAATAACAACTTGGTCCACTCCACATACAAATCTTGAAGCATTTCGATGAAGCCCAAACCTCTTTGTGACTCCTAAAACTCACGCAACCCTCTGGAATATTTTGGCTGAAGAAAGTATGAGATACAAAGGTGATGGAGATGAGGAGGGAGGGTTATCTTTGAAAAATATTGTGGTGGCGACAAGTCTCCCTCCACTTCTTTGTGATTCTCTTGGTGGCTTGTTGATCGTTGCCATTCTCGTGGAGTGGAAAGTGTAAACAGTAAAGAGAATTAGGGAGACTATTTTTTTGGCTGAGGAAAGTATGAGATACGAAGGTGGTGGAGATGAGGAAGGATGGTCATCTTTGAAAGGTATTGTGGCGGTGGCAAGTCTTCCTCCAGTTCTTTGTGATTCTCTTGGTGGCTTTGCTCGATAGTTACCATTCTAGTAGTATGGAAAATGTAAACAGTAAAGAGAGTTGGGGAGGGAGGAGGGGTTATTTAAGATGAGTTTAAGTAGTATCTGATTTGTAAAATTATTTTCGTAACACTTGATTTTCAAACTTTTAAATACAAAATATCATGATTGGGCTTAATTTCCTCTTTAAAGGGTAGAAATTTAAGTAACTTTTGTCATTTAATTAGATCTATTATTTTTTGGAATTTTTTTTTCTTTTTTTTATCAATACTCAACATTTTTGTCAAAATGAAATTTGTTTCCCATTAAAAATTTAATAATATAGCCATTTAGTCATACATAATGAAACGATGCTCTTCTATTAATTGTTCTCTAGGCAATCCAGATAATGGTGACGAGAATTTTTGCTACTTTGCTAAGTTTGACAACAATGCTTAGATTATTTGATATTTGTGCAAAAAGGAAGAGAAAATGTGGTTAAATGGAAATACTCTTGTCAACTTTATCTGATTTGACGAGACTTTCTATATGATTTGAATTCGTATGAGAAGGAAGGATTGTCTAGATGTACTGGACTTTTTGTTAACTTTGTCTAATTTGACAATAATGCTTAAACAATTCGAAATTTATGCAAAAATTAACACGAACAACTTCATATACTCTTAAAGAGATTGGAGTATATTTGTTAAAAAAAAAATCTAAAAAAGGATTACAAATTGGACAAAATTCAATTTCTCACTCTGACGTCTGAACTATTTTTAGTTTTCACTCTAGAAGTGTCCTATAAGGAATTTCCTCTTCTTAATATATATTTTTATCCTTTTTAGTAACCAAACTTATATATTTAGCCTCTATTTGGTACTGATTAAAATTAAAATTTTAATCTAATTCAATGTTAGCAATTAATTTTAATCACTTATTTAATGAGCTCTACAACTTTTCAATCTCGTATTTCATCAACTTCTATCAAAATTTTCTAAAAATCTAATTTTAATCCCCACCAAAAAATGACTTATTATATTACTGTCAAAACAACTCATTTATCAAATTTAATAATTGAAAAAACTAATTAGTTTCATAATAATTATAAAAATACATATCGTGGGTCACCCTGCAAAACATTAAAGTCGGTTGGAGAAAATGATTTCAAGTTGAACGTCAAACTTATAATTACCCTCAACCTCCCATCAACTCATCATAAACCTCCATGAAGTTGTCTTGGTCACTTGGACAAGAGAGAGAAAAATGACAAAAATGGTGAAAACTCGTATAGAAAATTACACCAAAATCGAACGGCGTCTAGGACCATATTTTTTACATGAAAACTTACAAATCTTGGCACATAGATTGTAGATAATAATCTCATTCCATTATGATTGAAATTGTGAGCATGCAGTGCAACAAAATACGGAATTTGGGACATGGAACAACAAAGTGATAATACAAGTTCTTGAAACTTCATTATTTTTCAATTAAAAATCTTGAACCGAAATTTATATTCAAGCATGCCACAAAATCTTTCATGAAAGTTTAGTAAAACATTCTCTAAACTAAATGTATCTGTCGTATACAAATAGATTCTGAAATCAACATAGATGAGTATGTAGAGAAACCTAATAATGGTGGACAAATTTATTAGAAAATTCCACAAAATAACTTATAACTTGGGGACATTGATTGTGAATCGAAATAATAATCCATTTATGAATGGCTATAGCAAAATACAATAAGCTCTTTTTGGGTTTCATTTTTTCACAAATACGTTTTTCCAAAATTAATTTTTTCACTACATTCTTTCAAGAAATAATGTTACGCGTAAACTCAAATTTTTTTATTTTTATTTTTCGACCAACAAAATTTCCAAAAAATAAATGTTCCAAATTTTTGTAATTCTTGTTGACAAATGGACATATTGCAATTAAT